CCTAATATTACACAGATTGTTCTTTTTGTTTTTTTTTTTTTAGTGTTTTCCCTCTTTAAGACTAAACCTTATGTATCACAACTTTTTTTTAATTAATTGATATTTTATACCAAAAAAGAAACAAAAACAAAAACAAGGGATGGTGAGGTCTCCACGGTCAATTGGGTTTAGTACTGCAGCCTGCAGGTAGAGTTTGGCAGCATGCGTTTCAAGAAATAAGATAAGGATCCATCAACGTGCTGCGTTTGATTCGTTCGTCTTATGACTCGTTTGAATATCCGTTAAAAAAATTGATTAATATAATTAGTTTTAAATATAATTGATCATATTTTTTGGTGTATAATTGATGTACAAAATTAATTAGAGTAATAATATATTTTTTCTCTTGAAATATTCTCAAAGAAATACCTAATAATCTAAGCTATTTGGTATGGTATCTTAGCCTGCAAAATAATTAAAATATAGCATTCTCTATCATAATATTAAATATTCACAAACGTCTGTTAAATAGTTAAATTATTTTCTCTTACTTCATATTAATAGTCAACATTTATTATTTAATGTCAGGGTAGAGTTTTAATTATTTTAGGAGTAAATATATTATCAAATAATTTAGGATGTTGGGTATTTATTGAAAAATACTTCAGAAAAAAATTCACCTTTGTCTAAATTAATTAATAAGATTAATTTTAAATAGAATTAAAAAGAAAAGTTAAAAAGTATAACTGAAAATCAAGTAAAACTATGATTTTGTATAGTTATATTCAAATACCCTGCTATATATCAAAATCAATTATAAACTCAGAATAATTGATTTCTTAAAATATTCAAACACCTATTATACATATCAAAATTAATTATAAACTTAAAATCATGACTTTTTTAAAAATATTCAAGCACCCCTATACATGCGATAATCAATTGTAAACTCAAAATCACAATCATCTCATAAGCTACTATTACTTGCCATTTAATTCAACATTTCTAAAAATTTATCCAAAAAAAATTATAAATTATTTTACAAATCATGTTTTTAAGTTCATAATATAATTGATTTTGGTATATACAATGAGTGTTTGGCTAATTTTAGAAAAAACATGATTTTGAATTATAATTAATTTTCACATGTAACAGTGTGTTCGAATTATTTTGGATAATTTAAAAAAAATGATTTTGAATTCATAATTTTAGAAAAACATGATTTTGAATTTATAATTAAGTTTGACATATATAAAAGTGTTTGAATATTTTTTTAACAAAATCATGGTCTTAGCTTTTAACATTAATTATGAATGAAATCCAAGCAGGCACTTAAAAATTGCTAACCATATGGGGTAAAGTTATTTGAGAAACATTGAAAGACCTTGATTCTCCCCCCACCCAAATAGTTTGACTTCATGGTCCTCCATAATAATTTTTTTCAAGAATCATGACACTTTTGCTTTTTAGATTGCTGATGATTTGTAAACAAATTACTTGTTCATTGTAAACAATAAAATTACCATACATATTAAAGACGTTAAGTCTCAAATAATAATGATAGATTTTCAGACTCCTTTATCATAATTTATCCAGATGTAAATGATATAAAAGGGTTGGTATGATAAGTGTTTGATTAATGTTAAATGTACATTACAAAGTAATAGAGACTACAAGGCTAAAATGAAATTCAAAGTTATCTAAGAAATATAAGAACTATGAATCTAAAAGATTTCAGTGTTTGAGAAGTATTATTCTTTGGTCCTCGTTCTCTATGACCTACTCCTCCTTTTATAATGACTTAGGTGAGACGGTTACTTTTATGGAATCTTGAGCTCGTTCACAACACATCAGGGATTCAATGTGCATGGTTTGTAAGGTTTATGACATGGTCTCTTTATTCATAATGCGTTTCATTGTTAACAATCAGCCCGCATCTTCAAGATATATATTTGCAAATAGTGGCCATGACTTTGTAAGATTCAAGGCCTATCAAGATTATGGTTTTGTGTATCACAATAGTCTAGATCGTGATTTCGAGTTTTAAGAGATTCAAAGACCTGTGCTTATTTAATCAAGTTATTCCATTATGATTTGGACTAGCGTGTTTGTTAAATCACTTATCAGGCCTGACTCTTCAATCATTCAAGCTATTTTATGTCATAGCTATTGTGAACCACGTTTTAATTTTAGCTCAAACAATAGCCTTGTTATATACTTCCTCCCATCATATTCCACCAAGAAATTTTTTTAACAAAGTAATTTGTCTTGTCCTTCAACTAAGATTTCGTGGCATTATTTTTTTTTTTTACAAAATTTTTTTATTAGCTATTCCTCCTGGTCTTTAATATATGATATTTTGTATATTTTTTATGCAAATTAAGAAAAGTTATTAGATTGTTTTACTTGTTTAAAAAAAAATCAACATTATGATCATACCAATTCCGTTATCAATTAAAGAAAATATCATCACGCGTTACTCAATAAAAAAGATATTAAAATTATCAGAATAAAATTGAAACATCATTTAATATTCTAACGAGAATCTTATACTTTAAAGCAATTTTCATTTTTGGAAGGCTACAGCTTATATATACAAGCGATTGGAAGAAGTAGTACTCAAAAAGTTGGGTACATTAGTTATGGGAAAAAGAGACTAGCCAATAATCTTAAAGTTATTTTTCGAAAAAAATATACAAATTATTGATAAATTTAGTGTCAGTATCTAATCTAATTTAACTAAATTTCTTAATTCTTATAAAGTAGTTTAAAAGGTTCTAAATATAAGATTGAAGGTAGTATATTATCTTGAAATATTCTATTCACCCCCTCCAAATTTGAACAAAAGACGACGTAGTGAGCTTTATCCCTTCGTTTGGGTTACCATCACGTGAACACAGAGTTCGTCTCTCCCGTCTATTATTATTATTATTATTATTATTATTGTTATTATTATGGCAATAAAGAGGGCTTAGCCCAAAAGTCTAGAGAATTACAGTTCGAGTCCATTTTAGAAACCATGTTTAAACCAAATGGGGGCGAATATGTAGAAAAATTGTGTTTTGGGACAAATGTAATGAAGAAAAATAACAGCAACCAAATTTTCTGACATGTGTAAATTAATTAACACTGTCTTATATTTATATTGGAATGAATATAAGAGTATGATAATTTCTCTCTCCTTATTTATTGTTTCAAAAATAAGGTTATATTAAATGAATGATTTTTTTAAAAATATATTGTGTTTTAAAAAATAAAATTTTAAATTGCATTTAATAAATGTTATTAGTATATGTAATTTCATAATAAAATATATCTTATAAAATGGTAAAGAAGGAATATATTGGAAAAGGAGTTCATGCTTTAAAATGTAAGTCATTTTGCTAATTTTTAAAGATAATTTAATACTTTTGTTTTAAACATAACCTTTTTCCCATAATTGACTGATACATTAATATGCTCTACTCCAATGCAAATTCAATTACAGTAAGGTTGAAAAAATTATAAGGTTACCTCCTAATTATAAGGAAGCAACAACGGATGACGTTGATGGTTCAGCTTGAGCATAAAAATCATCCACTTTTCACATCTCCAACATGAAAATAAGATTCCTCTATTATATTGCTGTTTTTTGTAATTTTCTATTTAAATTCTCTTTATCTTAAATTATACCACACTTTTAAAAAAATTTAACATTTTAAAATATAAGATATTTTAACAAAAATAAGAAATACTTTTTTAATTTTATACTTTCTATTATATTATTTTTTTTAATATTCTTTTACAAATAAAGTATTAAATGAATGACATTTTTAAAAGTTTATATTTTTTTTATAAAAAATAAGATTTATAAAATATATTTAATAAATTTTATTAATATATATGTTTTTATCTAGAATGTCTTGTAAGATGGTTGAATTAACAAATAAGAAAAACAGGCAAACTAAGGAAGCATGGTGACGGATGGCTAGCACAACATGCGCCTTCGTCTGGGTTCACCATCATCTTTTTCTTCTTCAGCGCTTGATCCAGAGAATCCATCCATGATTGATCATCCGCCGAACCCAAAACATTAAAATAATAGAAAACCTTATCGATAGATTAGAGGCTAACTATTGAGCTGAATTATGAAGACAGAGAGGATGAGCAAGATTTCAAAATACCATGGAGTGATTTTCGTCCCTACATCAATTTCACATCACAATAAGAGTGACCTAGCAGCCAACTAATTGTCCTATGCATGTCGGCCATTTGTACAATAACGCCATCCCAATGAGATAAGAGATAAGAATTATTGACTTTCGCGGGCCATACAAATCTCAATGGCGAGAGAACTGAAAATGCTCGCCAGAAAGATTAAAATCGGAATTTGTCTGTTATTATACTGCTCAGACCATGAATGAGAGGTTTGGATCTAGCAAGTGATATAAATCCATCTGGTTAATGAATATGATAATAACTGTTAGATTTAATTTAACAATTGTTATTTGGTTATATAACACTAGAAAGTAACAAATCATATATAGTCTCTGCAATAGATGTCTTACATGTTATGCTAATAAACACTAAATTTTACATTTTTTGGGAGGACAATATAGTTGAAGAATATTTTGATCGAAAGGATTGATTTTAATTTTTTTAAATCTATTTTTTTAACTTTTAAGTGTCAATAAAATTTAATAATTATAATTAAAACACTATAGTTGAGTTGGTAAGTTTAGGCCATTGGGTCACTGGATCCCAGGTCCATGGATAAGTGATTGATTAAAATAAAAGTTTTCTGGGAGTAATCTCCGATAAATACGGCTTTTATTAAGAGGAAAGGGTCATTATGTGCGTGAGGAACTCTAATTGAATGAATGACCAATCAGAATGTCATATTTTTTTAATAATTTAGTTCAAAAATTAAAGGAAAAAAGGTGAGGAAGACGACAAGACAAAGCACCAAGAGAAAAAGATATTTTTGTAGTAGCAGGTAAAGAAGAAATAAGGGGGTGGGGGAGATAAGGATGAAAAAGTAAGAAAATGAAAATTACAGTGACAGCAAAAGGTGGAAGGCTTTTTATAAATTGAATGAATGGCAGAGTCTGTGAGTGCTAAGACACGAAGGAAATAGATCACCATTTTCCTCTCTGCTGTTTCTGATCACCCTCGATCTCCATCGCCATGGATCCCTACAAGGTACGTACCAGTTTTGGTCTTACATTCTGTGCTTTCTGCTTGATTTCATCACCAACATTCAAATTTGTTTAATTTCCTGCAGTACCGACCGTCAAGTGCCTTCAACACTCCTTTCTGGACTACCAACTCCGGTACTCCAGTTTATAACAACGATTCAGCTCTCACCATCGGATCTAGAGGTATACATGCCAATTTATCTACTTGCCTACGTGATAATTAATTTTTACATCATCTGTAAATTGCTCCTTAAAATTTTAAGATTTCATTAGTGCCAGTGGCGTTCTTTTAAGCGCTACTTAGAAAGAACTCGTCTTTGAGTCTTTCAGGAGTCTAATCTTTTCCCGCTGATTAAAAAGGATGGTATGGTGATGATCGATCTTAAAGGATCTTAATTTTGATATAACAAGGTATGAATGATCATAGAACCTATATGTCACGAATTATGATACAACTGCATGCGCAGTATAGTGCCTCAGCGACTGCCACATCGGGTGTATGGGGTCCACACCTCACGTCTGGTCCCTGGCCGCTCTTGTGGGGCGCGTGCCCATGATTTTGATTAGTTTGAGGAGTTTTAAGAATCGAGAAATTTGAGAAAACTAGGTACGTGTCTTAAACAACAGATCTATTTATAAATCTCTGATTACTAGTAATACTTTTTATTCAAAAACAATATATCTTTCGGATTTGCAAAAATACAATCAAATGTTTTAGAATAAGGGATCCAAGAGATTTGATTGTAATTTAATTTAATATGGGTGTACAAAAAAAAAAACTGTTCAATTGTCTTAACTTTAAAACTGTTCAATTGTAAATTTTTGTGAAATTCTAGCTATATGTTCATGAAAATTAGTGGTAAACATGTGCCCATAAAAACTATACTTCTCCTCCCATATTTATAAATGTTTATCATGAACTTGCAATTAAAAATTTAAAATACCTCAATTTACAATTGAACAAGTATAAAGTTGAGGCAGCATGTTCTCTAGCTAGTAAATTACTACAACCAAATTTTAAGAGCCTTTGTAGTATTTTTATAAATTTATGAAATTTGTTTATAAATAAGTCTCTTGTTTAAAATTTATATGTAATTTTTTTTTTCATTAGTAAAAGGTTCATCACTATGAAGTAATAACAAACGTGCCAAGTTGGTCTTCGATGCTTGCCACTATAGTGATGTCTGAATTGTCTAAATCTAATTAAGCGGTTTAGATTTAAAGATTTTCAATAATGAATTTATTTTTTAATAGGATGATCACAGTAATTAAGAGATTATCTCTATTTTAGAATTTGCATCTATTAAAATAAAAAATATCATTAATATAAAAATAAATTAAAATTATAGATCTGCCGGGTCTAGCTTCAGCGCTAAAACTCATCCTTTTCCCCCCTCATTGAGGAGGCTAACAAAAGCTAGACAGATAAAGTTAACACGAGATCAATAGTCGTAACTACTACAGGACACTTCCCCACTTTCATCATACAAAAGAAAGGGATTACATCCACTGGGGCCTTCCGTAGTTTGCGTCCAACCATTAGTTGATTTGTGGGCTAATTCAGCCAGGTGATTGGCACAAGTCTAAAACTCATCCTTTATGTAGTTAAGCATAGCAGACTAGTTTTTATAGTCAGCTATAACACGCCTGGTGATTATAAAAAGCACAGGGAATTCAATATCGAGTGGCACACACAGGCTTTTGATTTTACCTTTGATTTATAAAATCCCCCCGCCAAAAAAGATGACTATTAGCTAAATAATGTCAGTTACAGATAAGTAATCTAAAGACCAGAAGAAGTGTCAACCCAACAACGATTGATCCAGTTAGTAAGGAGTTAGTTCATAATTCACAAACTCGTGAGATTAAATCTTGCATGTGAGTACCTTATAGAGAGTTAGTTCATGATTCACAAACTCGTGAGGTTAAATCTTGCATGTGAGTACCTTATAGGTGGGCGAGCGAATTGTAAGTTAGAAAGGAACAGAAGTGTCGGCATGCATATAGAGTAATTATATTTTAAACACCTTTTGGCAGGTCCAATTCTGCTAGAGGATTACCACTTGGTGGAGAAGCTCGCAAATTTTACTAGGGAACGGATTCCAGAACGTGTCGTGCATGCTAGGGGAGCTAGTGCCAAGGGTTTTTTTGAAGTCACTCATGATATTACTCATCTCACTTGTGCTGATTTCCTCCGTGCACCTGGAGTTCAGACCCCTGTCATTGTCCGTTTCTCCACTGTTATCCATGAACGAGGCAGCCCTGAAACTATTAGGGACCCTCGAGGTTTTGCTACCAAATTTTATACTAGAGAGGTAAGCTAGCTTGAATTTCCTATGACTACTTCTAGCGACTAAAAATATATATGTATGACTTAATTCACATTTGTAAACTGATCACCAGGGTAACTTCGATATAGTCGGAAACAACTTTCCTGTCTTCTTCATCCGTGATGCAATGAAGTTTCCCGATGTGATTCATGCTTTCAAACCCAATCCCAAGTCTCATATCCAGGAGTATTGGAGAGTCCTTGACTTCCTGTCCCATCATCCAGAAAGCCTTCACACATTTATGTTCTTATTCGATGATGTGGGTGTCCCGCAAGATTACAGGCACATGGAAGGTTCTAGTGTTAATACATATACTTTGATCAACAAGGCTGGGAAAGTGCATTATGTGCAATTTCACTGGAAGCCTACATTGGGAATCAAGTGTCTGTTAGAAGAAGAGGCCATACGGGTCGGTGGAACAAACCACAGTCATGCCACTCAAGATCTTTATGATTCAATTGCGGCCGGGAACTATCCTGAGTGGAAACTCTACATCCAAACCATTGATCCTGATTATGAAGACAGGTTTGACTTTGACCCACTGGATGGGACCAAGACTTGGCCAGAGGACCTCGTGCCCCTCCAGCCAGTTGGTCGTTTGGTCTTGAATAGGAACATCGACAACTTCTTTGCTGAGAACGAGCAGCTTGCATTTTCCCCTTCCCATGTGGTGCCTGGTATATACTTCTCTGATGATAAGATGCTCCAAGGTCGCGTCTTCGCATATGGTGATACACAGCGATACAGACTTGGAGCAAACTATCTGCAACTTCCTGTAAATGCTCCCAAGTGTGCTCATCACAACAATCACTATGACGGTGCCATGAATTTCATGCATAGGGATGAGGAGGTAAACTAGTATTCTTAGGATTGATCTGTTCCCTTTTAGCCGTCATTTTTGGAATAAAAATCCTTATATGTTATAGATTTTCTTGTGAAATGGGAACTTAATTTTTTATTTCATATATTTTATTATAATGACTAAAATGCTGCTGATTTATAGGTTGATTACTTCCCATCAAGATATGACTCTGCTCGTCACGCAGAAAAGTTCCCAATTCCTACTGTTATTTGCTCCGGCAGGCGTGAAAGGGTTAGTCTTGGTCACTTAAATTGTGTGAAAATGTGGAGTATAGTTAGTAAGTTAATCCACAAGTCTTGAGTTTCAATTTATATCATATTATGTCAGCATGATTTTGTCTATATTATATCTACTTATTTCAGCACTTCTATTGTTGTAGTATTACATAATTTCAGAATTCTAGTATTTTCTTTGTTTAATGTGAAATGCGAAGTAGTAAAACAAATGTACGAATCTTTTGTTGACTGTATTGTTCTTGAGGCAGTAAAAAATAGAGGTTCCGATTCTTGTGAAGCAAGAATGCGTTAATGACTCCATTGCTTATCATGCAGCGTATAATTGAGAAGCAGAACGACTTCAAGCAACCTGGGGAGCTATACAGATCCTGGGCACCTGACAGGTTCCCGTTGCAAACTGCAAATCCAATCAATATGAAATATTTTTGTCATCATCATCATCTAACTTCTGATTTTGTCTGTCGTTGCTTGACTTATTATTTCAGGCAAGATAGGTTTATCCGCAGATGGGTTGGAGTTTTATCGGACCCACGTGTCACCCATGAGGTCCGTAGCATCTGGATATCTTTCCTGTCTCAGGTGAGTTACTGTATTTACATATGGTTATGTGTGAAGTAGGAGTGTGAAATAAATATCTAATGATTTTTGCACTAGTGTGTGCTCATGTTATGGTATTGGTGCACACAGGCTGATCGGTCTCTTGGTCAAAAGGTAGCATCCCATCTGAACATGAGGCCAAGTATCTAAGGCAAGCTGGTTGAATCCACCAATATGTGCGAGAGTTCGAAGCTGATGAGCGAAGAATGTGATAAGGATATGCCTGTGAGGTCATTTGAATGGACCGATCATCAATCTTTTTATTGCATTATCATGTTGTATATTAATGTGTGTAAAACGACTAGTATGGCAATAAGCAGTTTGTATCTGTCTTTCATTTCTCCTGCTCCTCCTCATTTGATTACATTTCGGTGGATGGCATGTTTAAGGCCTGTGTCGAATATAGATAGTGCTGCGGAAGCTAAGCCAAAACTATGATAATCAAGGATGTGCCAATTATCATCGATCAATCCTTTTATTGTAGTATTATGATGCTTGCTCATGTGTTGTACAAAACAACTTCATGACAATAAAATCTGCCGACTCTTTATTTCATTTGTCGTGGTTGTTATTTGATTGATCTATTCCACTACTGGTTGGCATAAGGCCCATGTTGCACTATCGAGGGGGGGAAGTTAGTCCGGTTGAAGCTCGCTCTTACTTTTAGACATTTCAGTTGACTTTGTTCAAATGATAGTGGGCGTCTAATTTTAATTTGTTGATTGTATTGGTTAAGAATTCGATTGTGCTGGCCAAGCAACTGTCAGATAAAGATATTTGCCCAGCAAATGTGGGATTAATTAATGAACGAAAAATTTACATGTACGGAGTGCATGAACCAAACTCGTCCTGATTTGAGGCTTAATTAGTTTAATAAATGCTAAAGTCGCTTTTTCTCAATCGATTGAGTCCGCGATAATCCTGTTGCTATTGGTCGATGCTAGATATAAATGAATTTAAATTCAGTGATTGTGCTCAATATATATATTGAGTGCTTATAACAACGATTCAAATAAATTTATTCATACATTAATTTTAAATGGAATATAAATTTATAATTATTGATGTCACGTCTCAAAAATAGAGGATGATCATAAATCACAATGCATGTTCTCGGCCTCAAATCAAAAATGCATTCCACTTCAAAAATAAATTTTTGATTTATTTTGAAATTTTAATATTCTTGATAATAATCATTATAATAAAGGATTTAATATATACATATATATATATATATATAGAAATTTTGGCAAAACCTCCGCAAATAGGATCTCTCAAAAATTCTACAATACATTGCCTTAAACAAAATATCATATCGTTCAGTAGTTCAACTCCTTCGGGCAGCAGATGGAACATACATTGAAATAAGAACTTAGCAATAGCATATGTAGAACACCTAAAATTTAGTTCACAAAATACAATTTCACAATTCAAGTTTTTACATCAAAAGGTAGTTTAATCCACAAGTCCATCACTTTCCAATCATTAATAAACCCTTCAATGATCCGCAGGAGATTTAATGTCAATTAATGAATCTGAGGCCAACAAAATTTTCAGTGAATAGCATTCCCAAAAATAAAATTTAAAAATGTAAAATAATAAACTTAAATAATTATGTAAAATAATTGAAAATGTGATAATTCAATATAATACACTTAATAAATATGTAAATCTTAATTGTAACCATAAAATGATAGTGAACTAAAAATTTCTTTAATCCATCATGCTTGAAGAAAATAAATTATTCATATGTAAATCAAAGTAGTACACTTACTAATTGAAAATCATTAAAATTTTAAATACATAGTTAATTTAAAATTTTAAAAAATTTTGAGGATTTAATAGAACAGGTAACAAATGTAGACACACAGTCCACGAGAGTAAATAACTGAACGCGGCTTATGCCACGAAGATAAACGTGGACACATAGTCAACGAAGGTAATGCTAACCAAACGTGGCCAGAGCTACAAAACAAACATGAACACACAGTCCACAAGAGGTAATGTTAACCAAACGCAGCCAGAGCCACAAAACAAATGTGAGTACGAGACTCATGAATAATAAATGTGAGAATAGAGTTCACGAAAACCAAACTAGTTAGTCATTGACTATGGTGCGCCAAGGGCTAACAGGACTATCGTTAGCAACTAGTGTTTTATATAAAATCCCCCTTCAAAACCATTTTCCAACATGTGTGAATATCATTACTATAAAAATACAATTTTCATTCTCAAATCCAACTTGCATGAAAAATTTTGAGCATTAAAAGCTTGCCAAGATAAAATTCCATAACTGATGTTCATACTTGCATTTATTAGGAAACCAAAATTATCAGAGCTTATAAAAATAATTTTATAAATCTTAAAAGTATCCTTCATAAAGAAAAACCCATACTTGTCATAATTCAAATATTCTTCAACATCTCTTGACAATTTTTCAAGATAAAAATAATTTAATTAACAAAGTAACTAATATATATCATAGTTGTTATAAAAATAATATACATAAAAATGTAGTAATTTCAATCATAAACTTTTATTGATAAATTAATTGGGGTGCTATTCACTTATTTAAAATATTCCCAACTACATAATTTACTCCTAACCCATTGTTTTTATAATATTGTTTGCTTCTTAATTCCCTTACACCCAAGTGATATCATCATTATTTCCTTTATACATTTCACATATTCAAAAATATATCACCCTTTTTTTTAACAAACACCTTAGGTACATCCCTTAACAACTCATAAAACAATATCATGGTTTATAAATTATCAACAATAAAATTCCCAACCTCGATTTGTGGCATAATGATTTCATAATCAATTCCCTTTACAATTTTCAAGTTAACTACCATTAAATAGCACCCTCAAATCTTCTTATCATAATTAACAGAATTTTAAAAATACAAAATCAAGCAAACTTTCCAAACAATATTTTATCAAACCTTTCACAAGCATTGTAATATTTAAATTTTAATACTAAGCTCTTCTCTTTAAATTTCATTCCAACAAATATCCAACCATTCTACAACATCTAACTCATCATACTTTCCAATCAAATTTTCTTACCATTTCTCATAAATTCTTCAATATTAGTCTTTAAATTAACCCAGCCTCTTAGTATCACTCTTTCAACATAACTATTATTACATACATACATATATATATATATATATATATTGAAGAAAATTAGACCCTGTTTATGAGATACAAGAAATCATAAAATCGGTGCATACAAGAAATCACAATCCACGCATACAAGAAATCGGCGTAGGGGAGAAAAGAAATTTCTCACCTTAGATCATTAACGTTGGAGACAGCTTGAAGAAGGAAGGAAGAGGAGATGTAACGCGAAACAGGGGAAAGTTAGCACTGCTACATGTTCAGAGAAGAGGAAGAATTAATGGCACTATCACAGTCACCAGCGGCGGACGGACAATAACGAAGGGAAAGGGAGAAGAAGATTTGAAGACCCACAATCACACAGTTAGAATGATGACAGCAGCAACGACGAACAATGTAAGATGGTCCGATCTCTCTCTCTTTGGCTGCCTCTCTCACATACACACACTCCATGCACTCTCTTCGGTGACACACAAACAGAAGAAAGGGAGTCCAAGACCAAACGCACTCATACCCATAGACACAATGACAACTCTGTACTTATGAAGGAGGAGAAGCTGTCGCACGAGTAAGGAAGAACAGGGGAGAATTCTAGCAACTCTGTCGAGCATGCATTAACTCATACTGTGTCACTGTGATGGAAGAGAAGCAGAGACAGAGAAGGAGGACGATAAGAGAGAGGAGAGGATCTAGGTTCTTCTAATGAAGTAGAGTGTTAAGTCGGTGAGGGAGAGAGAAAAAGAAAAGAGAAAAATTTGAGGGAGGCAAGGGTAATCTAATAATTTTACAAGACTATATTAAAAATAAACTCCTATTTTTGCTTTAGTCAAAATCGAACAGGACTTAAGGGATAAACCATCTGTGCACTTCCACTGCACCAATATTCCTCCATATTACAATTGCTCCTAACCATTAATAAAATACACTTAGAATAAATTATTATATTTAATTTATCCTTATTTTTATTATTATTATTTATTATTATTATTATTATTATTACTACTACTTATAATCTTAGGGTTATTACAATTGATCTTGATTTTAATGATTTAGATGCTACAGACATTGAGTACCTGTACTAAGTATAGTTATCGAATCCAAATTTGATATAAATTGGCTCTTGAAAGAGCATAAAGGTGTACTAAAAACAAACTTGTGTAGCACATACACTAACATATTTTTGTACTGGATTTTTTATTGGCCTCTTCCCTTCTTGATTTTTAGCTTGCCTGCATATAGATAGGTGAGCAAGAAAGAGGGGAAAAAAAAAGGACAATCACATAACTTGAGAAGATAGTTATACATAGATAAGGATCAATATAAAATAAATTGTTAAAATAAAACTTTTTCTAATGGAATTTGTTATTAGCTTGCGAATAATTTTCTTCTCCAGTTGTGCCAAGTCAGGGAGGTCCACAATAGCTTTGGGCCAATGGATAAAAGCTGGGGCATTGGCTCCTAATGAAACTTTATAAACTTGCTTTGATCTACCCATTTCTTATATTCAAGTTGATTAATTTCAACTCACCTATCAAACGTGTATACTTAATAAACTCTAAGTATAAAAAGATTTCTCTATACCATTGCACAAGCTTTTATACATATGTGCTTCCAATATCAAATAGTATATCTCTATTCTATCATCATTCATAACTTCTTCATTTTAGACATAAAAGTCCCTTTTGTTTTCACTATGAGTGTTATTGTCCATACAATTATCCATGTCATCCTATATGAAAGCATCACAACTTGCTCAAGCCATAATACTTTAGCATATGTGGATCATCTTGGGTTGATCTTGAAAGGTCTAGGATAGTTAACTTGAACTTGCTTTTGAGCCACTAGTGAAATGCAGACCTCTTATGGAATGTACAAGCCTTATGTTTGGACTTACATAACCCATACTCGATTAGTTGTTACACACATGTTCGTAGAAGACACAACCATAAGTGACATATACAATGAATACAAAAGAAATTTAAACTTTCAATACCTAGGAAGGGGAAGATCAGATAGAAGCCCCTTAAAATCTAGCGAGGTAAAGATATGCTTTTAGACATTTCACTAATGGAACATTGATTACGGTTGGAAAATTGAGTCTCCATTGCTCTAATGGTTGCTGAATCCATTGGACATTGTATGAAGAATGCTGGTTCATAGGGAATCGGTAACTGCATTAAATCATTACTTAGATATTGAAGAACTATACTCATGGATGGCCTAGCTGCCGGATTTCCTTAAACACATAATAACCCAATATGGATACATATGATGATTTCGTTATGTGAATCAGCTTCTTCTAAATTAGAATCCAATATCTCCATGAAATTTTCCTCCCTCCAATGCTTCCAAGCCTGCAATAATCATGTCATTGATTCAAATCAAGTCCCTACTAATTTAGGCATACAACATCGTTAACAAAGCTCTAATAGTTGAGTTGATGCTAGTTGTTGTTTTTGTTGTTGTCAGGAAAGGTTGAGATGATTATTTGAGAAATATTAACAAGATAAATACATAATATAATCAACACTTGTTACTCACATGACTCAGGAGTCCATAGCTGTATTGAGATTCATGAGATCCATCATGAGAATTCAAATGCTGCTTTCTGCTAATGATTTCTAAAACTATAATTCTAAAGCTATAAACATCTGATTTTTCTGAAAATATTCCAAATTTGATATATTTTGGAGACATGTAACCCCTGCAATAGACAATTCAACCCAAATACACACATGTTAATGTTTGAATTTTAGCAATAAATAATTGGAGAAACATTTTTCATTGTTTAAATTCACTAACAAGGTGTGTGCTTGCACTATATATACATGCATTTTTTTTATGGATAGAGAGAAAGAGATGTTTGTGTGCGTGAGAGAAACAGGGTTCCAACAATTTTATTTGTGCTTCCTCTAGTTTCATTAATACCAACCATTCTTGCTAAGCCAAAATCAGAAATTTTTAGATTCATTTCATCATCTAATAAAATGTTGTTTGGTTTGAGATCTCGATGAATTACTTTAAGGTGAGAATATTCATAAAGATAAAGAATTCCCCGAGCAACTCCTCTGATAATTTTGAAACGCTCTGACCAATTTAATGATCTTTCCTTTTTGGAACCTGTACAAAATTAAATTTTTTATGAGTACAGAACTTAATCACAACATAATATGTATAACTAAACAAATTAGGATATATACTATAGCATATCCATCATAGGAATATAATTTAAAACTAGATAGCACATTGAAAATAAAATAAAAAGTTAACTAGAAGGTGAAATGAGTTTAGAAGGGACAAACCAAATAAAAAGAAATCTAGGCTCTTCTTAGGAACATATTCATAAACAAGTATTTTCTCTTGGTCATTTAAGCAAAATCCTAATAATGCAACCAGGTTTCTGTGCTGAAGTCTAGCAATTAGTAGAACTTCGTTCTTGAATTCAGTTAAACCTTGTCGAGAACTCTCAGACAATCTCTTCACTGCTATTTCTTTGCCATCAGGAAGGATGCCCTGAAATCATGTATCATTAGATCAACAAGGGAAGAAAATAAAAACCCAGGGGAGGGGGATATTGCAATATTATATTATCTAAACATTCACTTTCATGGCATCATCACCTTGTAGACTTCTCCAAATCCTCCCCTTCCTATTCTATTTTCAGCAGAAAACTTGTCCGTTGCTGCAGCTTCAATTGTAGTTAAATTGAATTTCAACAACTCTAATGTAGCACCTTCACTTCCAACTGTACAAATAAATGCATTTTAAAGTAAGTAAATAAACTAATAAAATATGCAGAACTACTTTTGTTGTGGCATTTTGAATTGAATGTCTTCTCAACTATAATACATACAATTTTTCTCCAGAATAGCCTTGTAACTCTTGCTGTGTTTTCTACGCCAACAATAATAGCCAGAGCAAGTAAGCATGATTGAAACAACAATAAGGACCACCACTATTATAATTGTCCGTGATTGGCCTTTATGTTTTCCTGCATAAATTACCATGAAATCGTGTACATTTACATGCCACTGACAAAAGAGCAGATAAAGATTGTAATGACTCTAAATTTTGAATTTAATAAATTTTTTTACTAATTGATATTTTATTTAATGGTTCTAATTTAACAAGTAGATGGTGGTTATTTATTAGAACTTAAGCCAGCAATTTACAGGAAGATTCAAAGTTCAAATTCTCTTAAATAGTAGGCTAATTTTATTTTATTATGATTATGAAAAAATTTTCAAAGAAAAAAAAACAAAACAAAACAAAGACAAAAACAAAAAGAGAAATGCTTTGTCTCTTATAATATAATAAAAAAAAATTTAGGTTCATCCTTATAATTTTCTCAATCCGCCCTTTTTAAGTCAAATTTTCTTCTTCCTCTATCATTTTAACGAGAGAGCCGACGAGAGAGAGCCAGAGAATTCTGGAAACTTTCATCTCTGTCCTTATCCGTTCTAGCATGTCCACCGACTTGGGTATATAATCACCATGATCGACAGATGCTAAGGGTCCATGTGTCGTCTTCTCCGTCTTGTTTCACAGCGTTCACTATTGGTAATCTTTGCCTAACTCATTCATCCGTTCTTCATCTGCATCATCGACTGTTCTTTTTCTTCCCTGCTCTTCTCTGTTTATGTGACGGTTTTTCCTTCTTCTTGCTTCAAGTTGCTGCTGCATTCGTGGGTGTGGCTATGGCTGTGGGGGCATCGAAATTCTTCCTTCCATGCTTCACATCACCACTGTCATCTCCCCTGTTTTGCGTCACAAATCGCTCAACTCAGCTAGTCGTCTAACTTGTATGTTCGTCGCCGTCGCTGCTGGAGTTCTGTCCGTTCATCATTACAGGTGGTTCCGGTGAGTGTTTAGCCATTTTCTATCGTTACTTTGGCATCTTCGTTAGAACTGTAATTCCTTCGTGCTTCCCCTGTTCAGTGCTGTTATCTTCTCTCTCTCTCCTTCCTTTATGTATCGTTAATGATCTAAGGTTAGGCATTTCAATCCTCCTCTTCCTTGTTGCTTGGTGTGCATTGTTGGCTGAGATTATAAAATTTTCTCCTTCCTTTCTTTGCTGCTGAAAGTAACGTGGATGGAGATTTAATTTTATTTGAGCATTAAAGTGGATTTATGTTGAAGGAGAAGCTTGATTAATCCTAGGTTGCCATTGAAATATATATGTGTGTGTGTGTGTGTGAAAAATGGTTGTGAATTTTCCCTTGTTCAACTACCGTATATGATTGTGCAGGGAGGGGATTGGATTAATCTAAAATCTAAAACTTAGTTAAACATTTTTATTAAATAATTTCAGTATGGTTTTTTTTTTTGGTTATGATTAATGAAGATGAATGTGAGTTTGGGTTTTACTTTTAAAGTTAAAAGCTATTTTTCCTGTTAAAAAGGAAGGGGATTTGAGGAGCTTGTTTCATCTATATATTGATATTCGGAAAAATGTTGGGAAGCATAATAATTGAGGAAGAGGTTTGGTATTTATTTGATTTTGGATGCATATAAAATTTTTCGCTAAAATGCTTGAAAGAAAGTTGGAATTAGAAATAGAGATTTTAAAGAGAATATTTTCATTAATAATTCAAGTATCAAATTGCTATTTATGTATTGATCTTTGAAATATTTATTTAAGGTTGTGGCAACGTTGGGAGGAAGTTTTTGGATTTGTAGGAAGCCTAATAAAATTTTATTGTATATGATAAGGCGGTTGGAAGAGAAAAGGGACATATTTGGTTTGGAGGTTAATTATTTATGGCATTTACTTGAGTTGGTGAAGAATTTTGACTGTGAAGCTACTGTGAGACAAACCAGATATTGGGACATTGTATGGTTGACGATTATCAATGATAAATTATTTACTCGTTACCAAGAAAGGATGGTATGAGTGCAACATAAGGGTATCATTATTGGCTAGCTAGAGAAAGAAATAAAATATTTTAAATATGGTTGCTAGGCTAGGGACAAATATTGATTTAGAAAAATTTGATAATTTTTAGACAAGATAATAAGTTGATGACTTTTATTGGTAGTATATGAAGTGGAGTTATCATTAAATAAAGTTATTCATTCTTCTTATTTAGGTAATTAGAGTAGCCAAAAGGCAACTAAGAGATGTTCAAAAGGAGCGAATTTTCATCTTGCTAGCTTTTCAGGTAAGTGGATAGCGTCCCAACTGATTTGTTTAATCAAAATTTTTTTTACTAGAATATTATGTTTTTCTGAAAATCATTTTAATAGCATTAATGTGATTATTGGATATTTGTTTATTAACATTACTTTATTTTAAGAAATTAGCTTTATCAAATTTGAAATGTTATTTGATCAACTAAATTAAGTTTGGACTTTGATTATGAGATTTTTATTTTATCAAATATTAGATTGATACAGAGAATGATTTATGCGAATTCGACTTTGAAATTTTTGATTATTCAATAAATGCAAGCATGAGCATTGGATATGAAATTTGCTTCTGGCAAGTTTTAATGTTTAAAAGTATTCATGCAAATTTAATTTTGAGAATGAGAACTGTATCTTGAAAGTGATGATTTTCTCGCATGTTTGAAAATGGTTTTAAAAAGGGACTTTATATAGAACATTGGTTGCTAACGGCAGTTCCATTAGCCCTTGGCGCGCCATGATACACCTAGCTAGCAGGGTGTGTATAGGAGGTGCTAGCCCCGTGCGATGGCCAACGCACGTGGAACGAAGGGATGGTTATTCGTGAGCATAGTACTCACGTTTGTTTCGTGGCTTCAAGCCGCGTTTGGTTAGCAATACCCTTGTAGACTGTGTGTCCACGTTTGTTTCGTGGCTTCGGCTGCGTTTGGTTACTTACCCTCATGGACTGGTGTGTCCACATTTGTCTTCGTGGCATAAACCGCGTTTGGTTATTTACCCTCGTGGATTGTGTGTCCACGTTTGTTAGTTATTCTGATAAGTCCCTACAATTATGAGTTTATAATTATTTTATGCAATTATTTACTTTATTGAAAGTACATGATAATGACGTTTGATATGATATTTTAATGAATCAGGAATTTATTTAAAGTTACATAAAGTCCTTTTTGACGAAGTTTATTATATATTTGTTTGCGCAAAATTTTTATTTCTAACACACATAATTATGTTAAACTTTCTTTTTATACATATTTAGTTATTTATTGTTGGGATGCTATTCACTGGAAACTTATTTGGTCTCAGATTTGTTAACGGGCGCTGATCCTATTGTTGACATTTAAAAGGGCGAAAAATTGATTTGGGTGGTGGCATTTCACTTAGCATTATCTCCTTTTGACATAAACATTTGAACTGATGTATTTTATTTTGAAAGTAAGGTTAGTTAGCTCCACATAGCCTATAGCTAAATTTCTATTATGGTATATGTCGTTTGCTGGTTGGAAGGAGTTGAGTTCCTGATTAATATTATATTTTGTGTAAAATATTGACAGAAATTTTTTTTTTTGAAAGATCCTAATTACTAGGAAGATTCTATTGAAATTTCAATACAGATTCAACTATGTTTTAAAAAAAAGAAAAGAAAAAAAAGGAGAAGATTTCTCAATTTAGGGCTTAAGGGATGTGTGATATGATCCACATCCTGTGCCGGTCAACCTCTGTTTTTGGGGTGTGACAAAGATTTATAAGGGCAGATGCAATATGAATTATCTCTGAAATGAATCAATTACATCACTTGTAGTTTTTTCTGAACCATTAACTGCCGGAGTGGGGGCATATGCAGGAGGCCTTGATACAGTCAGATTTGCACCATCGTTGCCATAAAATCGGTATAACTCAAACCTCAAGTTGCAACTAGGATACATGACTGTTCCTCCTTTCTTTCCGTCACAACATGAATAGATTTGTTGCCGGGCCTCCCCTAGACAGATTTTGCATTCTTGGCTAGACAGATCTGGAGTGCATTGTGCAAGAGTATACAACGTTTTCCCGTCGGAAATGATGTCTGCTTCTTTTGTGGCAAATTTCTTGGCTCCAACAGGTGTTGAGCTCGCTGTCAGTGTCATCAGATCTTGCAATGTAGCCACTAACAGCTCACGGAAGCCTTTTTGCTCATTGCTGAGCATGTCCGCACCAGATTGTGTAAATACATGTTTTCTGTCCAAGGTAGAGAAGATTGAGCGATTGGAATAGCGAAGCATGCACATGTCATACCAAATGATAGCCTCCTTTGAAGCGGGACACGTAGAGTTTAATGCACCAATTGCCTCATCGACACATTCGTGGCAGAGGGCTCTGGACACGTCACCTCGGCACATGAAGAGGCCGTAGACGGTATTTGACCGATTTCTTCCCACTGTGGCGTTGTATAATCCATTGTCTGTGGTGTTGTTGGAAGATATGTTAAGTTCGTGAGTGAGTTCTCTGAGATTGATTTGATAGGCATTGCTGGCACTCAGGCTTTCGTTGAGGAGACAATTGTCGTGTTCAAAGACAGGGGCAGCCTCTGTATGAAACAAAACCTTCAGGGATACGTATGACGGCATGGTTTAACTTGGTTTTTTGTTGAAATAATATCAACTGACGGTCATCTTCATTCTTCAAATAGAATCCTTAATTTTCGTACAACTAAATAAAGTATCACACGAGGGTAAGAATGTTTTTGATATATATCTGGTTCTTTATAATGCAGTTATTTTATATTTTTTGGATCATATTTTTCTTAGTGAATGACAATGGGATTGTTGTACGTGAATCACAGCATTCGCATGCAGGTTAAAGATGGGATTTTTATTATGAGTAACTCGTTACTTTTGTTACTGAAAAAGATCACCAGATTTCCTTTCCTTACTTTTCTTTCCTTGAAAGATTATTTCTAAAACACAAGTTTTTCAATTATGTGTTCATTGCGAAAATAGCAAAATTTCAATTAAAAAAAGTAAATTGGTGTAGATTTATCTCCTTTGACTTTAATCCTAAAATGTAATGTTTAATTTCATACAAATGAATAATAAGAAGTTAAAGGTTTCGTTTATATAAAATAATCTCCTGAAATTGAATAAACATACAATCAAGTATTCTATTTAAAAAAATTATCCAGTAGTAACTTTTTTAAAAAAGAACTAATTAATGTAAACAACACATTTAAGAATTAAAATATCTATATCAATACCACTAAAAAGCTTATGTGTAAATTTTAGGAAAAACATAATCATTATTCCCTATAATTTTATCAAATTTTATTTTTAATCTCTACAATTTTTTCAGTGTTTTTAGTATTGAAACTATAGGAACCTTGTTAATAAACATTATTCAATTTTATTGAAATTATAGCGACTCAAAACATAAAAAATAAACTACAATGATTAAAAGCAAAATTCAATGAAAATAATATTATGTTTTTCCTAAATTTTATTTGATCCGTGGCAAAGTGAGATGTAGCGGAATTACAGCGGTGAAGGGACTCTCTTGAAGGCTACATACTTTTCAATTGTTAATCTAATTATCACCCCTCAAATGAAATAGAAGGAGTAACTTTTTTTCTCGAGCGTATAAAAGAGCGAGTTTACCTTCAGAGGTTCCATGGGGAGGGTCCGTGCCATTGTTCTTATAATAAAATTGGTTTTCTTCACATCTCAAGTTGCAGCTAGGACTCATAATTTGTAGATTTCCTTTAATGAAGCCCGGCGGAATATGTTTCATTGTATCACGTAGACACTGAGTGCAGTTTTGCGGGGACAGATCCGGTGTGCACTGTACAAGAGTGTAAAGCGTCTCTGAACCACTATAGTTTGCTTCTTTCGTTGCAAAATTCTTGACACCTTCAGAACCTGATTTTGCTGCTTCCTCCACCACATCATTCAACGTCTTGTCTAACACTTCCATATTTCTCCTCCTGGTATTTATCAACCCGCTGCTGTTAAACGTAAATTTCATCGAATTCAGCAGGGACTCATCATTCGTGAACCCACCAATTACGGATATGGGAGCTGTTTCGAGGGTAGAGATGAAAGAACGGCGGGAATAGCGGACGAAGCACTCGTCGTACCAGATGATTGCCTCCGTGTTGTTGGGGCACTCTGAGGCTATCCTGTTTGTGGCGTCTTTCACGCAGTCCTGACAAACCTGATGGGGGACGTCGCCTCGGCACATGAACGAGCCATATACGGCGTCCTTGGTGTTTGTAGCGCCTTCGGTGGTGTTGAAGAATCTGGCACTGTCAGTGCCGGAGGGATTGGAACGTAAGTTCAACAGAACAGTGTAAACGTTTAACTGATAGGTGCTATTGGAAGCGAAGTTTTTGTCCGTCGTGCAATTGTGGTCCAAGTACGTTGGGATGATGTATGCTTCAGTCGCAGCAAAACTGAGCGAGCCAAGAAGGAGAAAGTAGGATATGAGTTCCAGAAGTGGCATATTCATTTGATTGCCCAAAGTTTCCAGCTATCACAGTGGGAGCTTAGCCAGCTTTGAGAGAGAAGGTACTGGTAAATATTGCTTCAGCGGGGAAGACTTGCTTTAATTCGCGGTCTTCTCCTAAAAATATTTAGAGACAGCTTTATCAAAGCCAAGTCTATCTGATCACTTGCTTTGCTTTTTTTTTTTTCTTTTTTTTTTCTTGGGCCTCCTTTAATGATATAATTGATGATCTGCCTTTGAGACATCGGCATAAAGTGAAAATTAATAAATTGTCTTATTTATTATTTTTAAATAATGTGGAGGGTCTAAATTGATATATTGATGGGCACCGGAAAGTCTTAGGTAATTAGGGAAACCATCTCCCACACTCTTGCATTAAAATTTTCATGCTCAAAATAATTGTGGTCAATTTTGATTAAAACATAATCCTCGCTAAACAATACAGTACGCTCCTTGACATGCATTAGTCATGCCCAACCAGACTCTCAATACTCTTTCTTTGTTTTTTTTAATGACAATTGTCAATATGGTTCAAAATATTTATTTTTCACCGTGAGTACGGGTCCAAGTATGGTTGAATTGAAGTCCACCTATTATTCATAATTAAAATAATATAATTTAATTAAAATATACAAAACCATAATATAATCTTTACGTTTTAATCTTGAAAAGAGTAATATTTAAATAAAAATGTCATTGATCACTAAGTAAATGGAATATTCATGTATAAATCATATATATATATATATATATAATTCAACAAAATAGAATTACTAAAGTACTAATATGAAAAATAAATACACTGCTTTTTTTTTTTAACTCCAAATAATATCGTTTTAGGCTTAACAAGGGAGAAAAAAAAATATAAAATTCAACTCGGTTAATCTCATCCAAAGCTTTTGATCGAAACCAGCTAAAAGACTGGTTCACTAATTTATTGGTTTGACTGGGAAATTCAGATTAGGTTTTAATAACATGCCGGCCATCACGTACAGGCTCGATAAATCAGTGGAACCAAGCTTCGGGAGAAAAAGGTACGGATATGGGGAGACTTACTTTTAAAAAAGTATTAGTGCCTCATGCTTACGTAAATCTTTGTAACTACCTGGGGTCGAGCGTCGTTATTTTAGTTTGTTTTCTTGTACGGCTCTCTGTTCTTGTACATTTCATATTATTTGAATATATTATTTACATGCAGCTTTAATTAATAATGAAGAGCTCGGTCTCTTTTATTTGGCTTTTTTTGTGCTTTATTATCTATGTGCAATGAAAAATATTGTAATATTTTTTATTTTTTATTTATGAAATACTATGATTTGATATAAATTTTTATATTGTCACTATACAATAATAAAGATATAACAAGACATCATAATAATATTCATGCAAAATTGCAAATGCACAATGTTTATTTTTGTATATATAAAAATTATTTTGTTGATTTAGATAAACAAATAATGTACTGAAAAAATAAAAATAAAAATACGATCAGATAATTGAGATGGACGATCGGATAGGTCCCAATGTGAATTTGCAGCTTATAATAGTGTTGAATCATGTGGCTTTGAAATTAATGGAGAAATATATGAAAATTACTTTATTCTTGCCTTAATTAAAATAATGCCTTTTTTTTTTTAATACAAGACCACAGGAAACCATGCAAAAAGACTAAGGTCTAGTTATATTAGAAGCCATGAGGCTTATACAATCGAGGGGCGGATTGATAAAGATAAAGATATCAAAATTTTCATAAGGAGTCTTATGAGTCAGAAGGTCAGCACAGTTGTTTGCTTCCCTTTAGATATGATCAAAAGTAATAATCCAATCTCTCATGGAGAGACCTCTAATTTTTTTTGACAATCACTGAGAGGAGGTGGGAGTCACAACATTCGTTGTTAATGAGTGATAATATTTTTAGAGAATCAGAGTGGACATTAATTTTGGTGAGTTTCTCATTCCAGTAGAGTTTAAGACCTTCTAAAATTGCATAGAGCTCCGCTGTAGTGGTAGGATAATAACTAAGGTTCTTGGAGAATCCTTGATCCATTTACCCTTGTCATCTTTAATAATGCCTTCACATGAAGCAGCACCATAAGTATTGACAAAGCCATCTACGTCGAGTCTAACCTAATTACGTTCAGGAGGACTCCATTTAGCTTCATATATGATGCTATCACTGTTTAATTGGTTGATATTGGATTGAAGTTTTAGGTCATTCATAATCTATTGCGTGTTGGAGAAGGCAATGTCGTTAATCAAAAAATCATCTTCTGAATAGATTTTTCTGCATCTGGCTTTCCATATATTCTAACAAGTTTGGGCAAAGAGTCTCTGTCAAGGGATTCTTCTAGTTATTTCACTGCCAAAAATATTGCCTTTTGAGTACATTTGCAGCTCTATTAGGATAGTCGAGGGATTCTTGTACGACAGAAGTCGCTGCCACCGCTGGTATTTGGTTGATAAAGGACAAAAGCATATTACTTTGAATTATAATTTATTTTTGACCAAGATTGAATTATAATTTATTTAGTATTGTTCTTCTAAAAAAAGCCAAAAAAAAAAAACAGGAAGTCATCCAAAGCTGATACAAGGAATCTGATTAGATAACAGTTTTAGAAAATTATAAAATTACTCTAATATCTCATATTCTTTATTGGTTTGTTGTTAAATGAACAACTCTATTAACAACACCTATACAACAGTAATTGATAATTTTAGTATATTAAATTGACAATTTTAACAAAAATCATAAGACTTTAATTTAATTTTACAATTTTATAGAATTTTTCTATATTTAAATTATTTGTGAGGCACCTGAGAATAATTTCTAAGAAAAAAACTTTAAATAGTCTAGCTTATCAATAACTTATACTGTAGATCCAAGAGAGTACTTCCTTGTATTCACCATTGAGAATCACTTCACTGTTTATGATTATATATACACAGAGATAATTCCCTGCTGGTATCGTCATCTTAAGGCTTGGTTTGGATAGAAGAAAATAGGGACGAGAGAAAACTATAAAAAATTTTAAAATAATACTTTTTTTATTATTCTAAAGATTTTTTTTTAAAGCTTTTCTTCTTTCCTATTTTTCTTCTAATTCAAAAAGAAGGATAAAGGTTATCGCATGGGGAAGACTTACTTTAATTCCCGGTCTTCTTTGAAAACAATTATTGAGAGACAGCTTTATCAAAGCCCGCTTCCTTTGATTTGTAACTTTCCCCTTTAATGATATAATTGATTATTTTAATTTGTTTTTGCCTCAACATGAAGTGACAAATGAATTGTATTATTTATAATTTTTTCATAATGTGAAGGATCTAAATTGATAATAATTGAGGGGAACAAGAAAGTCATAGCCCATATAATTGAGGTCAAGTGTCCACTACAAAAGACAACTGATTAGTTTCTTCACTAATTAATAAAAATTTCATCACTAAATAGTTAGTGATGGAATCCTTTTATCGATAAAAATATCACCACTAATTTATTAGTGATGGAATTCAAAATTTAACGATGGATAAATTCCGTTGCTAGTACATCATTCCATTATTAATTTTAGGAATAACCTATTTCAACTTAGCAATATATTACTGATGGAATTGTCTATTGCAAATTAGCATCAGAATTATTTGTGACAAATTAGTGACAGATTGTCAATGACAAATTAGCGATGGATTAATGAACTTGATAGCAGGAATGTGAAAGCTCTATACCTAAGGGCACAAGCATATATACAACTTGTGAATTTGGACCTTGCTGAAATGTACGTCAAGACAGCCCTTGAAATTGAGCCAGACAATATGTATGTTATGAATGCTCTCACTTTTTCATATGGTCATCACCATACACCTGCAGTAGTTATTTGTTTAATATTTGTTGGTACTATTTTTATTTGAAATAACCTTAATTGGATTGCTGTAATTAGGGACTTGAAAGTGGATTACAAAATTTTGAAGAAGGTGAGAGAATACAAGAAGAAGGATGCACGTTTATATTGTATGTGAACTTGAGACAGTCATGATTGAGTGTTGGTTTATATTCCATGATTCTTTGTAACTTCATCACCCCATCTTCATAACATCAATGTAATATTTTGAAGGATATGGAGGAATTTATTTGGTTTAAAAGTTCATTAATTGTTTTTTTCTGCATAAATGCTCATGGGCTCCTCTTATTTTTTTATGTTTCTTCTCTTGTCATCATTTACTCTGACCTTGGCATGCTCTGGATTGAAGCTTTTTGGATGCACACTGGTGCACTATTCTTCTATGTTTGGTTCTTTTTGTTTCCCTATTTATTTTATTTCTCTTTTGATTTTGTCCATCCTGATGTTCTTTCCCCCAACAGGTTTTAGGCTTTTAGCTTCTCCCATCCGCATCCATCTCCCCAACAGATTTTGTCCACCTTTTGGTAGACGATTTATTTTTTTACCTTATATCTTTTCCTTTTTTTGGTTGATTTATGATGCTCTATTTATTTATACAATTGAATAATTTCTAAATTATTTTTTCTCTTGCATGTTTTTTTTCATTTTCGTGTATGCTAATTATTTTTTAGCAAGGTAAAACTAGTTGTTGTGTTTAAAGGAATGATTACATACATTAGAAGATGATTTTCTTTTCGGTAGCAAGCTCATTTCCCTTTTGCTCCTCTCATTGGTTGCTGGTGTGGTTCATCAATGGTTCATCTATTTTGTGTGTGCCATATGAATCCTTAGGTTCTATGATTGTCAACTTTTAGGTGCTTGTCCTAAAGGCTGAGAGTCAGGGCAACATTAATCGGTATTTTCTATCTCTGTATGATGTGCTAGATTCAGAGTGTCTCTGTATAGAAACATCTTCCTTGTGTTATTACTATTATACATTATTATTTGAAAACTTGTCTGGCTAGCATAACATAACTGCAGAATAAATAAAATTAACCAAATCCTTGAAATAGGGTGCATAATATCAATTGTTTCTAAGTGGAGTGGGTTTGGGGGAATATATTCAGGAATGGCAGGCGAGACCAAAGTAGAAGGAGAAGGCCTTGAAGAAATAGAAGAGCATGAATGCTACACGAATAGAGGGCTCCTATTGCTGTAAATAATGTTTCTATTGTTAATGTACATCTTTACTTAGTAAAGTCACGTAGTTTTTGGTATATGATTTTAAGCGGCAACACACAAGTTGGTCTTGCTGGTTGCTCTGGCAAGTGACCCAAG